GTGGGAGGGCTTCTAGTGTCCTGGCCCCACTGCTGGACCTCCTGATGGCACCTGGTATTTCTGGCTGCTGTGTGACACAGAGTGTTGGACTAGATGGGCCACTGGCCTGATCCAACATTGGCTTATCTTGTGTTCTTATTAACCAGGTTTGATTCCTCACTCCTCCGAATGCAGTTGCTGGTGTGACCTAGGGTCAGTCATAAGTTCTTTCAGAGCTGTTCTCTCAAAAGCAGTCCTTGAAAGAGCTCTCTCAGCCTCACCTAACTCACAGGGTGTCTGTCTGTCGTGGGGAGGCGGATGGAAAGGAAATTTTAAGCTGCTCTGAAACTCGTTCGGGTAGTGAAGGGGGTGGGGTATAAATCCAATCTCCTCCTCTTCCTCATTTCCTCCAGGGGAATTGATTTCTGTAGTCTGGAGATGAGCTGAAATTCTGGGGGATCCCCTGGTCTCACCTGGAGGCTGGCATCCCTATCGCCAAAGCAGCCATTTTCTCTGGGGGTCAATCTGTTCTTGGTCAATCTGGAGATCAATTGCAATCCCACACCTGGAAGCTGGCAACCCCACCTCCTGCTTTCTGTGCTGATGTGTGTGCTGTTTGGAATTGCGCTAGTTTCTCTTTGCACGTAGAAAGGCGCTACAGCTGAGCAGGTGGTCATTCTCCGGGAAGGTGAGGACTTCAGGACTCTGGCTGCCGGGCAGTCCGCAAGGAAACCTCACCAGGGGGCAACAGGATACGTTGGCAATGTCAGTGTTCCCTCTAAGCTGAGTCAGTGTGAGCTAGCTCACGGTTCTTTAGCCTCTGGCTCACGCATTTTTGTCTCGGCTCAGGAAGGATGGGTCCAGAGCAAACTAATTTACGCAGCAGCCAAATGGCTCGCTCACAACTTTAATGCCAGGAGCTCAGAAAGTGGAATTTTTGCTCACAGGACTCCACAGCTTAGAGGGAGCATCAGTTGGCATACGAGGGCCATGTTCTGTTCCATGCCTGAGCATTGGGCGTGGGAGGCCCCGTGGGTGATCTTGGCTCTAATCTGGAAGCTGCAGCTAGTGCAGAATGCGGCAGCCAGGCGGCTGATGGGTCTCTCCATACGAGAGCACATCCGGCCTGTGCTGAAGGCATTGCACTGGCTGCCAATAGCATACCGGATTTGCTTCAAGGTGCTGTTTTTGACCTTTAAAGCCCTATATGGTCGGGGGCCTGCCTACCTGCCTGCCTTTCCCCATTTGTCCCCAAGAGAGCACTGAGGTCAGAGTCGCAAAATCGCCTGAGTCTCCCTGGTCCGAAAGACGCCAGATTGGTCCCTACCGGGACCGGGGCCTTCTTAGTGGTGGCTCCACAGTGGTGGAACGAGCTCCCGGAAGACATCAGGGCCCTGTGGGACCTTCGACAGTTCCACAGGGCCTGTAAAACGGAGCTCTTCCACCTGGCCTTTGATTAGGAGCCGCCACTGAGCTATTAAAAACTGGACTGTTACGGCATTAAGAACAACTTTGGATACTGTTTGGTGTCGTGGTTAAGTGCGCGGACTCTAACCTGGGAGAACCGGGTTTGATTCCCCCACTCCTCCACTTGCACCTGGCTGGATGACCTTGGGCAAGCCGTAGTTCTGATGAGCTGTTCTTGAAAATGAGCCATTTCTGTCAGAGCTCTCTCAGCCCCACCTACCTCACAGGGTGTCTGCTGTGGGGAGGGGAAGGGAAAGGAGTTTGTAAGCCGCTCTGAGACTCCTGTGGGTAGTGAAGGACGGGGCATAAATCCAATCTCTTCTTCTCTGCTTCTTCTTCTACTGGCCTAGCTACATCGGACCACCTTACAGCAATCGCCGTCTGCACTCCACTGCACTTTTATGTACATCGTTTGTTTACATGAAATTTTATAGCACTGCATTTATGCATCTGTGTTTTATTGTCTTTTTAACCTGTTGTGCGCCACCTTGAGCCTGCCTTTGCAGGCAAGGTGGGAGATACATCGAAATACATAAATAAATAAAACAGGGCCAGTCCGCCTGCTCCTCACCTGCGGTTCGCCAAGCACTGCCAAGATCTTCCCCATGTCATGAATCAGTCCGACTAGGTGGAACCAGTCTACGGCAAGGACCGAGAGACAGAGTAAGAGAGACAGTGAGTTCCTTCGTGCACACCAAGGGTCAGAGATTATCCTGGGGCAAACTACATCCCACCCCCAGCTTGATGCATCGATTTGGTGTCAGTTTGGCATCAGATATATTTGTGCAAGTCTGGTGGGTCCCTGACTGGGAGAAGAGCTCTGCATGCAGAAGGTCCCAGTTTCAATCCTCAGCATCAGCTATTAGAAAGCTCTCAGGCTAGGAAAGACCTTTTGCCGCCCGTGACCTTGGAGAGTCACTGGCTGTTAGAACTGATGAGGCAAGGGCAGGCAGATAAACAGCTGAACATATGAAGTTTGTTGTAGTGGTTAAGGGCGTGGACTCTAATCTGGGAGAACTGGGTTTGACTCCCCACTCGTCTACTTGCACCTGCTGGATGACCTTGGGCAAGCCGTAGTTCTGATAAGAGCTGTTCTCTCAAGGGCAGTTCTGGAAAGAGCTCTCTCAGCCCCACCTCCCTCACTGGGTTTCTGTACTGGGGAGGGGAAGGGAAAGGAGTTTGTAAGCTGCTCTGAGTAAAGGGCAGGGTATAAATCCAATCTCCTCTTCAGTTTGGTGTGGTGGTTAAGTGCGCGGACTCTAATCTGGGAGAACCGGGTTTGATTCCCGCACTCCTCCACTGGCACCTGGCTGGATGACCTTGGGCAAACCGTAGTTCTGATAAGAGCTGTTCTTGAAAAAGAGCCATTTCTGTCAAGAGCTTTGAAAAAGAGCAGTTTCTGTCAGAGCTCTCACAGCCCCACCTGCCTCACAGGGCGTCTGTTGTGGGGAGGGGAAGGGAAAGGAGTTTGTCAGCCGCTCTGAGACTCCTTTGGGTAGTGAAGGGCGGGGTATAAATCCAATCTCTTCTTCTACTTCTTCAAGGCAAGGGCAGGCAGATGAACAGCTGAACACATGAAGCTGCCTTCTACTGAATCAGACCCTTAGTCCGTCAAAGTCCGTATTGTCTACTCAGACTGGCAGCCGCTCTCCAAGGTTTTATGTCAAGGTTTTTCACTCACCTACTACCTTATCCCTTTAACTGGAGATGCCGGGGATTGAGCCTGGGACCTTCTGCAGGCCAGGCAGATGCTCTGCCACTGAGCCACAACCCTTCTTTACAGCTCTCCAGGGTCTCAGGCGGAGGCCTTTCCCATCACCGCCTGCCTGGTCCTTTTTAATTGGGGATGCCGGGTATTGAACCTGGGACCTTCTGCAGACCAAACAGAGGCCCTGCCACTGAGCCACAGCCCCTCCCCAGTGATCTAATTCTATAGGTCTGTTAAATACTGGGTTCTAGACGCATTGCAGTGATCGGCTCTAGTTTATTACGTGATTTCAGCAAACTACCAGACTGCTAGCAGGGCTTGAGCCCTGCTTATAAAGCCTGCAAACACCACACCCAACAACACACACTCCCAGTGATAGGCTATTTACATTACACTACTTATCTATTGGTTAGCTCCAGGATCCTGGCGAGCTATTGTTCTAAAGTAGCATAAAGTAGGAAGGCCGAGCGCCAAAGAATAGATTCTTTTGCACTATGGTGCTGGAGAAGACTCTTGAGAGTCCCTTGGACTGCAAGAAGATCAAATCAGTCAATCCTAAAAGAAATCAACCCTGACTGTTCCCTGGGAGGCCAGATAATGAAACTGAAGCTCAAATACTTTGGCCACCCAATGAGAAGGGAGCCCTCACTGGAGAAGAAGACCCTGATGCTGGGAAAGATTGAAGGTCAAAGACGACGGGGACGGCAAAGGATGAGATGGTTGGACAGTGTCATAGATGCAACGAACATGAAATTGAGCAAACTTCAGAGGACGGCGGAAGACTGGAAGGCCTGGCGGGAGCTGGTCCATGGGGTTGCGAAGAGTTAGACTCGACTGTGCGACTGAACAACAACAAGCATGCTCCACCAGTTCCTGGTACAGCTTGAGGCATGGCTTAGTCTCAATACATAACTAGGTCAGTGGTCTGATTCTGTAGCAAGTCGCTCCTTCTACATCTGCACCCCTTGCCTATCGGATACTGCCTGTGATAAGAGAGCCCAGGAAAGCCCGATCGTATCGGGTCATGGAAGCTAAGCAGGGTCGACTCTGGCAAGTACGTGGATGGGAGACCTCCAAGGAATACCAGAGGCGGGGGGCAGGCTTGACTCAGCCACCTCTCTGAAAATCCTTCGGGGCCCCAGTAGGGGTCAGTCACCAGAGGTTGCCATGACTTCCAGGTGCACACGCATGCGCGCATACACACACACATGAAAAAATACAAAAGTTTAATTCTAGCACTGGATTTCTTTGCAGTAGTACAAATGTTTTAAAAGCCATATTGGCTCGGTTATATCGGTAAGAAGAAAATTTCCTTCTAGAAATCAGTGCCTACTTTTTTTTAGTATCAAGGTTTTAGGGTATCATTCCATCTGAGGAAGAGAAGCCGTCCTGGTGTTCATTACTTAATGTTCCGGCAACACTTTGTTGTACGTATCAGAGCTACTTCTATTTAACATATAAACTTTTGACAGCCCGTAGCTTACAAACAACCCTCGCTTTTTGCCTTTTGCTATTTTTGTTTTGGAATGTACTGGGATCTTGGCCTGTAATGTATGTTTAAACCTCTTGTGCAAATTTCTGTACATAAATAACTATATTTTCTAAGTGTGGAAGTCTGAATGTAACAGCATACTGTGATTTAGTAAAGGTAAAGGTTCCCTTGCTCGAAAGCCAGTCGAGTCCGACTCTAGGGTTTCAAAGCCGAAGAGCCAGCACTGTCTGAAGACGTTTCCGTGGTCATGTGGCCAGCATGACTAGACACCAAGGTGCACGAAACGCTGCTACCTTCCCACCGAAGTGGTCCCTATTTATCTACTTGCAATTTCTGGCTTTCGAACTGCTAGGTTGGCAGGAGCTGGAACTAGAGACGGGAGCTCACTCCATCATGCGGCACACTCGGGTCCTGAACTGCTGAACTACTGACCTTCCACAGCCTGCAGTTCAGTGTCTTAACCACTTGAGCCACCGCAGATTTATATCTTGGTTAAAAAAAATAACGCTGAGTTTCTTGACACGCTCCCAAATAAAGCTGGTTCTGTAATCAGCAAAAAAAATTCAAAAAAATACAAAAAATACCTCCCCAATTATCAATTTATCTTGTTTCTCAGATGTAACCCCCTACAGCCACATCCGAAAGGGGCTTCTTGCTTTCACGCTCTACGCTATGGGAAACGGGAATACCACCACCTGGGGGTTGCCAGGTCCGGGTTGGAAAATACCTGGAGACTTCGGATCCAGGAGAAAGCGGGGCTTTGGGGTGGGGAGGGGCCTCAGGATGGTCCAGTGCCACAGAATCCACCCTTCCAAGCAGCCGTTTCCTCTAGGAGAGCTGATCTCTGTCAGCTGGAGATCAGTTGTGAAAGCGGGAGATCCCCAGGCCCCACCTGGAGGTTGGCAACTCTATCAGACAGGCACCACCCCCATCCTCACCTTTGTCCGGGTGGGCCTTCCGGATGCCCTCGGCCGTCTGGTAGGCATGGTAGGAGTTGGGGAAGTCGACGTCCGGGTCTGACTCATCCACCACGGTGTCCAGCAGGTCTAGCGTCTCCATGACGGTCATCCGCCGGAGGCTGCAACCCCCGTACTCCTCATTCTAGGAAAAGGGGACTGTGAGGACGCTGGATATGAGCGGGGGTGGGGGGGACGGGACGCCGGGTTTCCTCTCCGCTGGGCATCCCTCGTTCAGAAACACAGCCCTAAGCCTAGGCCGGGTATCTAAAAACGAAAGTAGCCCTTAGGTGTCAAAATGCTAACTAGCGAAGGGGCCATCCTTCCTGGTATAAATGGAAGGGCAGGGTTTATTCCATGTGCACACCCTGCCTTTCATCCCAGTGAGAACCCAGAACGGTTTGCATCGAACTCTTCTCCTCTACGTCATCCTCCCAACAACCCTGTGAGGCAGGTCTGTGAGCGGCCCAAGGTCACCTAGCAAGCTTTGAGGGACAGTTTGGTATCGTGGACTCTAATCTGGGAGAACCGGGTTGGATTCCTCACTCCTCCATGTGCAGCTGCTGGTGTGACCTTGGGTCAGTCATAAGTTCTCTCAGAGCTGTTCTCTCAGCAGCAGTTTCTGTCAGAGCTCTCTCAGCCCCACCTTCCTCACAGGGGGTCTGTGGTGGGAAAGGGAAGGGAAAGGAGATTGTAAGCCGCTCTGAGACTCCTTCAGGTAGTGAAGGGCAGGGGGTATACATCCAGTCTCCTCTTTTTTTCCTTCTTCCTTTCCATGGCAGAGTGGTGAGGATTTGAAGAAGAGGAAGAAATTGGATTTATATCCTGCCCTTCACTACCCAAGGGAGTCTCAGAGTGGCTGACAAACTCCTTTCCCTTCCCCTCCCCACAACAGACACAGGTAGGTGGGGCCGAGAGAGCTCTGACAAAAACGGCTCTTTTTCAAGAACAGCTGTGACAGAATTACGGCTTGCTCAAGGTCATCCAGCAGGTGCAAGCGGAGGAGTGGGGAATCAAACCCGGTTCTCCCAGATTAGAGTCCGCGCACTTAACCACGACACCAAACTGTAGTGGTATAGCGGTTTGGTGTAATTAACCACTACATCAAATCACTATGCCAAACTGGCAGTTAGGAGCACAGACTCTAATCAGGGAGAACTGGGTTTGATTCCACACTCCTTCACATGCAGTTGATGGTGTGACCTTGGGTCAGTCACATGTTCTTTCAGAGCTGTTCTCTCAAGGACAGTTCTGGAAAAGAGCTCTCTCAGCCCCACCTGCCTCACAGGGTATCTGTTGTGGGGAGGGGAAGGGAAAGGAGTTTGTCAGCCACTCTGAGACACCTTTCGGTAGTGAACGGTGGGGTATAAATCCAATCTCTGCCTCCTCTTCTTAGAGAGCCAGTTTGGTTTAGTGGTTAAGTGCGCGGACTCTAATCAGGGAGAACCGGGTGTGATTCCCCACTCCTCCACTTGCAGCTGCTGGCATGACCCTGGGTCAGTCACAAGTTCTCTCAGAGCTGTTCTCTCAAGGACAGTCCTCGAAAGAGCTCTCTCAGCCCCGCCTACCTCCCAGGGTGTCTGTCTGTTGTGGGGAGGGGAAGGGAAAGGAGTTTGTAAGCCGCTCTGAGACACCTTTCGGTAGTGAAGGGCGGGGTATCAAT